GAGAGTTCTCAGTATTAGAACTGTCAGGGGAAATGCATAGAGGAGCGATCCGGTCCAAGCAGTGAGAAGAACGTCGCCCAGAGATCCTTTTCTGATCCCCGCTCTGGAACAGAATTGGGGACACTTGTCATTCTGCTTTGTGGCAAAAAGGTCTACTTTTGGCATATCCCATCTGCGAAAGATGCGCTGAAGAACGTCTGCCCTTATCTCCCACTCGTGATCTACCGGGAATCGTCTGCTTAACGAGTCCGCAATGACATTGCTGATGCCAGGTAAGTACGATGCCATGATGGTTACGTCATTCCTTATGCACCAGTTCCACAACCGCACTGCCTCCGCACAGAGGGAACGAGATTTGGCACCCCCTTGTCGGTTTATATAGTACATCGCCGCCACATTGTCTGTGAATATCCTGACAGCGGTGTGCCGTATGCGTGGAAGAAAATGCTTGCATGCTAGGAAAATGGCACGCAACTCTAGGAGATTGATGTGATATGTCTTCTCTATGGGGGACCATTTGCCCTGAATGCGGTCGTTGCCCATATGCGCCCCCCAGCCTATGAGAGATGCGTCTGTTGTTATAAGCATAGAAGGCTGAGGACGAAGGAACGGGACTCCGGAAAGGAGGTTTTCTGTGCATTTCCACCACCGCAGGGAGTCGTGAATGTGAGGCGGTAGAGTGACTGTCTTGTGGATGCTGTCTTTCTGTGGTAAGTATACCTTTTGTAACCAGTGCTGAAGATCTCTGAAGTGGAGTCTTGCATGAGGGACCACGAAGGTGGTGGATGCCATGTGGCCCAGGAGACGCAGACACATATGTACGGACACAGTCGGCGCGATATCGAGGACCTTTACCAGCTCCTGTATTGTTTGGAACCTGTCTAGAGGTAAGTATGCCCTTTCCGTGACGGAGTCTAGGACTGCGCCGATGAACTTTATATTCTGTGTCGGGACAATGGTCGACTTCTGTTCTTTTATTATCAGGCCGAGAGAATCGAACATGTTTCTGGCCAACGATATCATGTGCATGGTCTCTTGGTGTATTGGGGCCTTTATGAGGCAATCGTCCAAATAGGGGAATATGAGGACGTGCTGTCGTCGTAGATATGCCGCGACTACCACCAGAGTCTTTGAGAAAACTCTGGGAGCTGCCGCCAGACCGAAGGGGAGAACCCTGTATTGGAAATGGTCGTTGTCTATTACAAAGCGCAGAAAACGTCTGTGTGCCGGGTGGACTATAATGTGAAAATATGCGTCCTGCAAGTCGAGGGCCGCAAACCAATCGCTGAGATTCAGAGATGGAATTATTGTCGCTAATGTCACCATCTTGAAATGCCTTTTTTGCAGATAATGATTGAGATGACGCAAATCGAGAATCGGTCTCCATCCCCCTGTCTTCTTTTCCGTCAGAAAGTAACGGGAATAAAACCCTTTCCCCAGAACTATTTCGGGACTTTTTCTATGGCTCCTCTGGCCAGCAGGCGTAGAACCTCCTGTCGCAAAAGAGTATCGTGAGAGGGGTCCCTGAAAAGGAACGGGGTTGGTGGGTGGGTAGGGGGCATTGAAGTAAAGGGGATGGTGAAACCTGATTTTACTATGTCCAATACCCATTTGTCGGTGGTCATTGCGGCCCAGCGATGATAATAAGGCCGAAGACGATGATGGAAGATGGGAGTGGTATTGGTAGTGATGTCGATTGCGATTGGTACGACTGCGCCCTCGACAGACGAGTCAAACCTGTTGTTTGGCGTGTGGTACGTTGGTCGCCCTAGAAGGTTGCGGGCGCCTACGTTGTGGCCTCTGCTTGGATCGGGTGTGATCAAACGGGCGAGGTTGTTGTTGTTTTTGGAATTGGAAGTCATATCGCCTCTGATATGGGAAGAACCTCCGGCGGCGGAACGGTGGAACATACATGCCCAGCGTACGAAGGGTCGTACGGGAGTCCTTTCCGGTGTGAAGCACCTCATCCGTTTTGTCAGCAAACAATTTCAATTTGTCGAACGGGAGGTCTTCGACTTTCGCCTGCAAGTCTCTCGGAGCCCCAGCAGCAGCCAGCCATGAAGCCCTATGCATGGATATCGCGGTGGCTATTGATCTCGCAGCCGTGTCCGCAACATCCATGGCTATCTGTAGACTGGCACGGGAGCAAGCGTACCCCTCCAGCACCACTGCGCGAAGGATGGCTTTTTCCTCCTCGGAGGCATTCTGGGCCAGCCCTGACAACTTGGCAATGTTGTCAAATCCATGATTGGACAGTAGTGCCGCATAATTGGCAATGCGAAGAAGGAGGGTAGACGATGAATAGACTTTCCTACCAAATATGTCTAATTTTTTGGCCTCTTTTTCCGCTGCCGCATTCCTTCCCTGCGGATTCTTGGCTCGATTTAGGGCTGCGTCCACTACAAGGGAATTCGGTTGGGGATGTGTAAAAAGAAATTCCAAACCCTTAGAAACAGTAGTGCCGCATAATTGGCAATGCGAAGAAGGAGGGTAGACGATGAATAGACTTTCCTACCAAATATGTCTAATTTTTTGGCCTCTTTTTCCGCTGCCGCATTCCTTCCCTGCGGATTCTTGGCTCGATTTAGGGCTGCGTCCACTACAAGGGAATTCGGTTGGGGATGTGTAAAAAGAAATTCCAAACCCTTAGAATCCGCCCGCTTTGACGTAGGCGGGACAGAGGCTGGGGTGTGCCAGATTTCTGAGGCTGGTTCAAGAATCGCCTCATCAATTGGGAGTGCTGCTCTAGACTGTTGTTTGGGGTGCAAGTTCTTAAGTAACTTGTATTGCTTCGTCTGAACGTCCGCCATATGAACGTTCTGCGTGTAGGCCACTCGTTTAAAAAGATCTTGGAATTCCCGACCGTCGTCCGGGGGTGAATTATCCCCTTGAAATACCGCTTCGTCCGGAGAGGATGAGGCAACGTCAGCTGGAGATATTGCGTGCGAAGGGGCATCCTCGTCCGAAATTTGACCTTCCTCAGGATCAGACATCTGAGGAGGAGGTGAGGGAGCAGCTACCGGAACCTTTGGGGGTTGAACCGATTGTTGCGGAGAACCCACTGGGGACTGATGTCCATGCTGCGAGGTATGGCAACGACAAGAATGAGGGGACCGAGACCTTGCGTAGGCATAAGGAGAATAGTCCCTCTCTCGATGACGGTAAGAGCAGTCAGGAGATGGTCTTCTAGACGAATAGGCAATGCTGTATCTGCTTCCATAGGACCTCGAAGGTGAGCGGGATGGCGAGCGAGATCTAGGAGCGTGCGTCCCGAAGTGTGGTATGGGATGTCTATAGACATGCGTGTAGTGCGGCCTCAAGTAACGGTACGGAGAACGTGAGGCGCGATAATAACCCATTCCAGAGGTACCTGGCTGGTCACCCTCGCTGATTTTAGATCTAGGGACCGCGGCCAGAGAGCGCGCTGGGGAGACTCTTTTAGCTTTCTTTTGAGTCGACCCACTCTGCGGTGGAGACGTCCTCTTGTAAGTCTGGGAAGAATCTCCTTGGGGCGTTTCAGAAGGCTGTAGAGCCTTATCAAACAGAATAAGCTTCAGCCTCATGTCTCTGTCCCTACGTGCCCTGGCCGTTAATTTAGAACAATGGGCACATTTGCTCGGCACATGGGACTCCCCCAAGCAGCGTATGCATGCGTTGTGGCCATCGGACGCTGGCATGGGGTCTTTGCACAGGGAACATTTCTTAAACCCCGGTGAACCAGGCATTTTGTATTTTCTATCTCTAAAGATAACGAAAACTAGAGAAAAAAACCAGTAGCTTAACTATCTACGTTCAACTTTAAGAAAAAAATTTTTTTTTTAAACAACTAACTAACTAACTAACTAACTGTAACTATAAACTGAGGAAAACTCGTGACAATTTTTAAGTTTTCTATCTAAAGGAGCTGTCTCTGAGGAGAGAGTCCGATGTCCGTCAGCAACCTAGGACGGTTGAAAGGAACTGGCGGAGGGGCCGGACCGCGTGACTGAAGAAACCGCGCGAAGCCTGCCGCGCATGTGCGGTCCGGCCGGTTACGGCTACGAAAAGCCTCCGATCAGCGGCGCCGGGACGAGCCCGACACCTTGAGTGGAGCACCCACGGGGACCACTCGAAGAAGAAAGGATGTTTAACTAACTAAACAAACTCCCTAAAAAACAAACAGAACAGATTTACTTATCTAACTATAAAGGATGAGAAATTGAGTTATCAGGAACACTGCAGAGCTCTGTCTCTGGCCAGGGATGGCAGAGAAGGAACATTGACAGTGCATGGCCTCAGGGACACTGCTCTGCAGACTCTGGACACAGTGCAGGGGCCCACTGATACTTAATGTCATCTCTCTCAAAGATATTGTTTTCTGTTTCTGGAAATACACTAGCCTTGCATGCTGATTTCTACATGTCAGGCAAAATTTATAAACCATCAGAATACTGACATTTCCATTGATTATAATTGTCTACTGTCACAATGATTCAGTCTGACTTTTTTTATGCACAGCTTATTTATACAATTGTTGTCACCAACAAATAAAATCAATGTCAATAATCTCTTTCAGGAGCCATATATCATAAGAAAAAACAAGTTTCGGTTGAAGATTTTTAAAGAAAAAATTCAACTTCTAACTCTTATTTCAAATTTCATATATATCATGCAGAGCTAGAGTGACACCCAGTGGCTAGTGAGTAAGATTACGTTTAGCTTGAAAAAAATCATGGAATTTACTGTATAGGTTTAGAAAGAAACTCTCCTTGTGGTCAGTTAATTCCATAATTGTCCACTATGGGATCATTTCTTTGAAGTGTCCTGTGCTTGTTACTGTCAGAGACAGGATACTGGATTAGATATCAGGTATGGCAATTATTATGTTAGGTTAAATCTTTGTTAGATAAATGATAGTGTGAATCTGGACCACATGTGAAATATTGTATATGCCTGTATATGCACATTTTAATGTAAATATTGTTATAATCAGTCAACCGTAAATATTATATTAAGCTTACCTGAGGATCTTCTGAATGGGTGTAGACCTATATTTGAAAAATAAACATGTAAATATGAGAATAAATACAATGTGTATAAATACACTTTTTGAGAGGTGAGTAAACATTTTAAAGATACTTACCGCAAGGACAACCATTCTAAGCTGTTTAAAATATAATTAACAAAAGAAAAACAATAAATTAAATATATCTTATAAAATAACCCTGCATACCAACTACAGTGCAGATTCCAAAAAACAAAATAACAAGGAAATTAGGTCCCTGATTTGGGAAAGTCATCCAATTCTAAATAACAAAGGCTATACACATGTGCTTAACTTTAAGCAGATGCTTAACTACTACTGACTGCGGTGCTTTCTTGAATAGGAATGCTTTCCTAAATCAGGGCATCAGACATTTTTCCAAAGTCATGTTTCAGACATCAGTGCAGAAGTCATTACCACGAATGAAGACTTATGGGCTACATTATGTGAGATGCTGAGCACCTGGAACTGCCATTAATTGTCACATCTGAGTAAAATGCAGTTTTTTGTAAACAGTAGGGATGTTAGATAGCAATTAATTGAATATTTGTGTAACTACACAAAATATTATCAGTTTCATGACTATTCGACAGTCCCTGGGGGCAGGGCTGGCAGCCAGTGCATTCCTGGACCCCTCCCAGGGAGCTGCTATATCAGAGGCAGCAGCACAGGGTGGCAGCAGCTCTATCCGCGGAAGGCCCAAGATCCCCAGGGACAGAGGCTGCTCCATGGCAGCAGCCCCTGTCCACGGGGAAGAGGGTCTCAGCCCCCCACAGACAGAGGATGCACTGGCATCCCACAGAGCAGCCACTGTCCGCGGCAAGTCTGGACCTGCCAGGGATAGAGGCTGCTCTTCAGCACCCTCCCCTGACCCCTTTCCTGTTGCTGCCTCTGAAAGAGACAGCAGTGCAGGAGGAAGCGGCTCATGTAAGCCAATACGTGTGGGGAGCTGGCTTGAAAACTGGCTGCCCCTGTGTCCTGGCTCCCGCCTGCCACCCTTACCCTCAGTGCTGCTGTCCCTCTATCAGAGGTAGCAGCGCTGAGGTGGGAGAGGCAGGCGACTCCGGTACTTGTGGGGAGATTGCTTAAAAGCCTGCTTCCCATGGAAACATCTCCTGCACCTCAACCGCGCTGCCTCTGATACAGAGAAAGCAAAGGGGGTGGGGGAAATGCATGTAGTCAACTACACGTTGACATCCCTAGTAAACAGTAGGCCCAAATCCACAAGGGTACGTCTACACTTGTTCCCTAGTTTGAACTAGGGATGCAAACGTAGCCGACCAAAATTGCTAATGAAGCGAGGATTTAAATATCCCGCGCTTCATTAGCATAATCTCACCCGCTCGCTATTCTGCTCACCAGCTGATTTGAACCAGGAAGTGCACTCCAGGACGCATTAGTTTGAATCAAATCCCTTGGTTCGAACTAACGTTACTCCTCAAAAAATGAGGAGTAATGTTAGTTCAAACCAAGGAGTTTGATTCGAACTAACGCATCCCAGAACGCACTTCCTGAATCAGCTGGTGAGCAGAATAGCGAGCGGGTGAGATTATGCTAATGAAGCGCGGGATATTTAAATCCTCGCTTCATTAGCAATTTTGGTCGGCTACATTTGCATCCCTAGTTCGAACTAGGGAGCAAGTGTAGACGTACCCCAAGAGACCACTATGAGAAGTATACAAATGCACATTACAGTATATTATATCAAAATGATACTGGAAGACTTACATATTTTTTCTGCAAAGCATCATAGCAACCTAACATCCTGCAAAAATCAAATAATATTGTCTGTTTACTACTAATTACCATTTCGATTGAATAAAAATCCTACAAAATGAAATTGTTGTGTTTATATTCTTAATTTTAAAATATGGTAGTCATAAACAATGCTTATTCCATTATTTTTGTCTTTTTAATTAACTATAAAGTTTCCAATACCCAAATATATACCAGGCTCTTCACAGAACAAATATAAATGTCACTGAACTGTATGCCTGTCAAGGCTTTCTAACGTGTTCATAAGTCAGTTGATAAATATAACTATTTCACTTAAGTCTAATAATCTTTTAAGCACAAAACCAATACAACCTGGATCTCCCTGGTCCACCCTTCGAGACCTGACTAGTCCCGGATAAGGGATTTTTCCAGACCAGGGAGGGTCATATCTGGCCTCTCTGCTACCACTCCCCCGCCAGCCCTGGACTGGCCACCAGCCTCACTGACCTGCCGGTACCCCCACCCTCTTCCCTGCTATGCTGAGCAGCCCAACTCCAGCCCAGCTCCCTGAACACCAGATTCCTGGCCCTACTGGGGCAGTCCCACTGGATTGTGCCCAAGAGCTCAGATTTGGCACGCTGGGCAGCCCAGTTGCGGGGAGCCCAGTCGCCAGCCCTTCACCAGGACGCTCTGTTCTGGAACATGCATGGAGTCCTGGTTTATAGCAGTTCAACCTGTACGATTTTTAGTCTTGATGCAGTTTTATTTAAAAGTTTTAATTGCATTTTACATAAAAATATACAAAAAGAGATACCACAATACTTAAGTAACCAAGAATTAATCCATAATTTACTATAGCCCAATGGAACATTGGAAAAAAAGAGTAAGAATTAGTCTTACACAGAATATACAATACACAGAATATATAAAATACTAATAAACATCCAGCTACAGAATTTTAGAAGCTGAATACTCCTCTTTTGCAATGCTTGAGATGTTAATCCTCAAAATTAAAAGTTACAAAAACACAATAAATGCAATGTTAATGAAAATATTGTGTCCCAACCTCGAATACCAAAGAATAAGGACTGAATTCTCCATTACACATCACTATAGATGTGAAGTATAAAGCACTATTATTCTGATTTGGCATCATTTTACATCCACTTTGTACTGGTGGAAATGACTACAAAACAAGATGCAGAGCAACAAGGAATCAGGTTCTGAGAGAACTGTCAAAAGAAGCAACTGTGGATATAAAATTCAGATTTTTCAATGTGCAAAGTCTGTATACCAAAACAGTAAATACTACGCGTTAAATACACCACGTGACCATTGTTCACCAACAGTCATTGCTCTGGGGTGGGGCTGGGGATGAGGAGTTCAGTATGCAGGCTACCCAAGGGAGAGAGGATAACCCCAGCCCGCTGTCACCACAGCTGCTTGGGGCCAGGTGAGAAATACCTGTCTAAGGCTGCTGCAGCTGCAGTGGGCATAGCTGGGGAGGGATACATGTCCCCCAAATGGGAGACAGACATCCACACAGACAGACACACAAACAAACTATCTGAAATATATAGCAAATAGTCTCCACCCTTGCTCCCTGCTGACCCAATGAGGTTATAGTTGTCCAGGTCCCCATCTCTGGCCGCCTTGCTGCCCCCCTGTGGTCATTCTGCAGTATAACTGTCCTTCCGCCAGATTTCTTCCTTTCCATTTTATGAAAAACAATCAAATTCCAGGTGTATCCGCTTGTCCTGGCACAACCAAACCTTTACCTTGTTTTAACTTATGATAAGAGGAAGATGCATAATAAATGTGGTGGTCCTAGCTCTTACTATTTAGAAAGAGTTCTTGAACAGACAGATTCACAGACAGACATAATCAGCTGCATGCGGAGGGCCGCAATTTAAGTGTGGTTGCATAAATATGCAAATAGCTTCATTCACATTGATGGGCATGAATAGAAAGATTAAGGCAAGACTACACAAATACAGGCCCCATTTAAATCAGTTCTGCTGATATTAATAAAATGTAATATTTACCCGATTTCCACCCATATGAGCACTTTTAATGAGCAATGACAGTCCAGGAATTTAACTACTAAAACACATAGCAACAGAAGACCATTATATTGACTACTTTTTTGTTTTGGCTCCCACCCACAGGCAGTGTGTTGAGCCCCACATAAATCCAAAGTGCACTGTGGGCCGCAAACAAACAGGTCACAGGCCGCATGTTGAGTAGCTCTGCTCTAGAATCAACATACCATTTCACCAACTGAGTGGATCCAGGGCAGTTTTTGTCTTCTCTCAAAATTTTGACACAGAGGTCTGAAACAAACAAAGTTTAGTTAAAAAAATATAAACACAACACTAACAAAATTAAGTTCATTCAAATAAGCTCTCTCACATTCTTTGTCACTAGAACAAATATCTTATGTCAAAGGAATCTGAGAAACAGCATGTTACCATCTAGATATCTTGTTCCATAGGCACATTCTGGAAAAATTCCTCTTAGATAAGTAATGCAAGATACTGATACTGCTAGGAGTCTCTTCACCAATACTAAAGACTGCTGTTCAGTACATATTTTATTTGGAAATATTACTGCACTCTAAAATGTAAAGAGAAAGAGAGAGGGCGAGAATTAATTTCCAGGATACAGGAATCTTTATTTTCATTCACTTGCCTTTCAAATACTGAAGACAAATAAAATGTCTTATCTCATTAGCCAAATGTATCAATTTTATTTTATTGTTAAAGGAACTAACATGAAGCATATATTGAACAGCTTATCACACTGATAGCCTCCAACCACATAAAGAGTTATATAGTGTGTATTTAACATTTTGCACTGTAAATAGTTCAATTGATTTCAAAGTGAATATTCACTGCACATAAAGCATGCTTAACTTTTTGCAGTGTCAGGACCTTTGTGTTTAACTGAACCCTGTGAAATTTTACTACTGTGCATAGTTCAATAAGAATATTTATGGCAAAAAGAACTGCACCTGAATAACATCATCTGTTTATACAGAGATGAGTTATATGACTCTGAACTACTTTTTTCAAGCATAATCAGCTGCATGGGTAATTTTGGGCAATACAACAGTACTAAAAATAATTACTTTGTATTCCTGACTACTCTAATCAACTGTGTCAAAAATACATCAAAATAAACGGAACCATACCATAGAATTTCTCTGCATCTGGGCAGTTGCCATATTATCAGTCTTTTCCTATCTATTAATAAAAATGGGTTATTAGTATTGTTAAGTTGCACTTTGATAACACTTACATATGTAGATCCTATCTATTCCATTTTCAGAACACAGGCCTGGATCCATAAAGGTATTTAGGTTCCTAACTTCCATTGAAATCAATGCAAGTTAGGAGTCTAAATGCAAACATTTACTCAATGGTTAGTAATGAACCATTTTTAGTTATGCACATAATCCCATTGATTTCAACCTGTGTGAATGAGGATCACTCATGGGAATAAAGAGCTATGGTCTTCAGCCTGATTTATACTACAGACTTCTGTGATATAGCTATGTTACTCCAGGGAATAATAAATGCAAGCAGAATTCCCCAGCATAGTGCACCTACACTGGCAAAATTCACATTTACCAACACAGCTTGTTTTACCCAGGTACAAAACATAGCTGTGCCAGTACGAGATGTATCCACAGTAGGGGCTTTTTAAATTAGTAAATTGGATCAACTCAGCTATATCAATTCCGGAGTTTGAAAAATCCACACCTGAGTCACATAGGGCAGGCCATATCTACATTGCCACTTTACTGCACTGCAACTTTCTGACTCAGCAATGTGAAAGAACACCTCATGAGCACTGCAAGTTATAGCACTGTAAAGTGCCAGTGTAAATGGGCTCTCCAGCTGTTACAAGATACCTCTAGCAGGCTGGATCCAACCTGCCAAACCACCAGATCCAGCTCGCGGACCACCCTGCCGGGACCCACAAACACGCAGTAGTTGCTGTTTTAAGTGGAGGGCTGCTTCATGTGCCTCTCTACTCTGGAGAGGTGAGACTTCTGGGTGTTCTCCCTGTCCCCAGGCCAATCCTCAGCTCCTATTGGCCGTGAATAACCAGCCAATAGGAAATGACCCCAGCCAATCTCTCAGCTCCTATTGGCCAGAAACAACCAGCCTCCCGCAAACCTCTCCACCCTCCAGGAATGAGAGCCACATGGAGAGAGCAGCCTGCATTTTAAAGCAGCCTGGGGCTGCAGCAAGTAGAGAGCCCAGCCCCAGCCTGCCTTGGGGGTGCTGCAGGGCTGTTGGCTGGGAGATGCTTAGGTAAGGGCCTCCCAGCCAAAGCCTGCCTCTGGCACCCCTGCCCCTCCCACACTCCAACTTCCTCCCCCAGGTCACCATCCAAACCCTCTGCACCCCCCTACCACAAGTCACAACTCCCTCTCCCAGAACTTGTACCCTCCCCTACACTCATCCCCACCCCCAGGCCAGAATCCTCTCCTGCATCCACAGTCCCTCCCATACACTACACCCCAATCCCCTGACTCAGGTCACAACCTCTTCTTTCATCCAAATCACCTCTCAGACCTCACACCATTTCCCACATCCCAGTCCCTTATCCCATGTGCCCGTCTGTACTCAAATCTTCATCCTAAACCCTGCACCACTAGGACCCAGAGGGTAGAAAATTTGTGTCTGCTGCTGGTACATATGTATTCTCTCTGCTCTAGATGCACAGAGATGGTAGAGTGCCATGAGAGGAGTAGAACAGGAAGAAGGCAGAATTGAGACCTTTCAAAGTTTTGGCCCAAGCGAGGGGGCATGGGGGCGTCATCTGAGCTCCCCACCTCAGATGCCAAAATGTTGTGGGCCGGCCCTGTGTAGACATAGCCTCCAGGTCCTATATCAGCAGCGGGGAACCTATGGCTCAGGCCAGATCCAGCCCCTGAGGCTCAGGGCTCCCCTCCCCCCCAAGGGCCATGTTAGTGAGGGTTTCGTTGCCTTTCACTCATATGTGGCCCCCAACTTGTATTTATGTGGGTCAGCAGCCACCAATCCTAAAAAAGTTCCCCACCCCTGCCCTAAGCACTCTAAACAGATCCGTGGTTCTCAAACTGTGAGTTACAATCCCAAAGTGGGTTGTGATCCTCTATGGGGTTCCCAAGACTGATGCTGGCCCCAGCAAGTCAAAAGCCCAAGTGTCACTGTCCAGGGCTATGGTCACATGTCCCCTGGACTTCAGGTTGGGCCCCCCGGGGGGGGGGGGGGGGTGGAGCTCGCTTTTTGGTCCCTTCTCCTGGGCTCATATGGTAAATTTTGTTGTCAGAAGGGGGCCACAGCAGTGAAGTTTGAGAACCAGAGAGCTGAACCAACGCGACCACCAGAGCATAGCCCAGGGCAGAATCCTTCCACGGGCCTCATAACCACCCCTCAGGGGAGCGGATTAGCCAGCCGGAGGCACAGGAGACCCCATGCCCAGCCTCACTACGGTGCTATTCGCAGCCACGCTGCAGCACTGCGGACCTGCCCTTACGCTCCGGCTTTCACCCAAAGCAGCACAGCTTCCCCACCGGCCTCTGTGGCGCCCCCTCCCCAGGCTAGACCAGGAGTGGGGGAGCCCGGGGCCGGAAACTGGGGAGCGGATTAGCCAGCCGGAGGCACAGGAGACCCCATGCCCAGCCTCACTACGGTGCTATTCGCAGCCACGCTGCAGCACTGCGGACCTGCCCTTACGCTCCGGCTTTCACCCAAAGCAGCACAGCTTCCCCACCGGCCTCTGTGGCGCCCCCTCCCCAGGCTAGACCAGGAGTGGGGGAGCCCGGGGCCGGAAACTGAGTCCCTAGAGTGCGGGGCAAATGGCTCGTTGGAAGGGGCAATCCGAGCCGTCCCATGCCCAGAGCGCCCCCGTCTTGACGCCTTGCGGCCCAGGCTGACCCCACCAGCCGGCGCCCGGCCCGCGCTGCGGAATAACCGTCCTGCCGCGCGCCTCTCGCCGCCCGTGAGCTCGCGGGCCGCTTTCCCGCCTTTTCTCCTGACGCGGTGTGCGC